TTTAAGCATGTTTTTTAGCCTGGTTATTTCTTTTATTTTATTTATTGAAAGTGTTTTTCTTCACTGATTCTTTGTGACCCGGGAATCCATGAAGATTGATTCACCACTGACTCGCAAAATGTAATAATTTAATTGAATAATTACTTCTGCCTGTAGTTTACGCACAGGCATATTTTGGCCTTTAGCTGCTGACCTTTATACGTCCTCTATTATAGACTCCACTGTGATTAAATTAATAGTAGCTGTTGTGTTTTAAACTCAGAAAATTGTTTGTCTGAAAAATATACCACTTCTCCTTCACTGAAAAAAATTTACAAAAGTGAAATGTTTAGAAGTTCGCCTGAGGCATTCATAGGAAACATCTAACAAAGTTGACTCTCGATGTTTATAACTTACTGAAAAATCAATCTCCAGAGAATAGGCATCGGAGGCTCCTTGTTTAAACTCAGGAAGAAAAATAATTAGTGAACATCTTCTGCAGTACACGTTACAAAAAAAGTATGGAACAAAACAGTTTTTAATGAAACTATATGTTTGTGTATAAGATGTTAATGTGAGAGAGAATGTAATATAAGCCTAATGAATGTAATCGCTGGACTGAAGACTGTTTGATAAATTATCCTTTCTTTTATTCGATGCTCGATGTGAGTCACATAATAAAAGAGGAGTAAGATCGTGAAATCACAGAAGGAAATGTTACATTCTCAGGAGTTTAGCAAGACTATAGAGAAGGAGATGCTAATTCTCTCGAACATTCTATCAGACTGCACTCCCATTGTCACTCTCACACTCACCCATGTAATCACATCCTTCTCTTATCACCTTGCCCCTGACAGAGTTGTAATTGATGAATTAATGTGCAGTTAATGTATTGGCTCCATTAATAAAAATAAGTTGTTGTCTCCATCACCGCAGAGATTGGAGTTAAAATGTATAAAGAGGAACAGCAGAGGAGAGAGGTGTAGGGAAAAGGAAAAAAAACCTTTTTAAATTGGTAACCAAATATTTATGTTTAGCTGAGTTTAGTGTCCGGACTCTTTGATGTCCAGTTCTGCAGTTTGAAAACAAAATTTTAAGTAAACATGACCGACAAGTTGACAACCGAAGAAATTAATTTCTTCCTCTGTTCCTTTCTTTTCGTTAAAAACAAAACAAGCCACTGCAGCCCAGGCTTGGGTTGACAGTTTCTGGGAAATATGCCTGTTTAGCTGTCAGCAGTGACAGGATAATGAGTACTGCTTGGTCCACTCACTTATCAGCAGTGTAATGATCCTCCTGCTTGATAATGTGTGGAAGAAAATGCCTCAGAATCGTAATCACAATGTTTGCCAGCAGTTATGCTATTGTTCTTGTCATATTTCCTTAAAATGCCTTTTCTTTAACATATGTTTCTTAGATTATGACAAAAAGCCTGACTTTGTTCTTTCAATATTTTTGTCTCCCAGAAATTGAAAGAGCAATCTGTCAACAGTTGACATTAGCTCTGCAGAAGAGCATTGGAGAATATAATGTTTGTCTTTCTGGCTGAAATGGTCCAAACCTAGTTAATGCTCAGGAACACCATGTGTTTTCTGTGTGTGTGTCAGGATCATTTTAATTTGATGGCATTTGCTGCCGTTGCAAGCATCTGTTGCAGCCAGAAGATAAATGTCCTTGTTTTTGTATCTTTTTTCTTTACAACATATGCTTTTTTGTTCCCACAGGATTATAATGACGAGATCAGACAGGAGCAGCTGAGAGAGCTCTCTCTCCTGAACGGCTCAGACGAGTCGAGAGGAGGGAGGAGTGCACAGGGGAGGAGTGTACGAGCAGCAAGCACAAGGTAAAAGCCCTCGATGAAGTAAAGAGTTTATGGCACATGTTGTTATTATACAAAGTCTGGAATAAAAGAAATAAAATATGTCAATCTTTCCTTTAAAGCCCGGCTGCAGTAAAAGCCGGAACCTGTTATGAAATGCTTTTGGAAATGTCAGACATTGACAGCACTTTTAACACAGTAATCACTTCTGTATAAAAATCAATATGTACTAACAGCTTTTATATTGGAACACATTGTTTGTGTATTGGGCTTGTTACAGCAGTGATGTGGAAGCAATGAATGATAAGAAAACGTAAACACAAAATAACAATGAAAATTGATCCGGTCCCTAGTAAAAAGTAAGTAAAGTTCAGATGAATACTTTACATCCAGAAGTTATTTGCACCAAAGAAGGAGTAGAAAAAACGTTATCAAAGAAGAAGAAAATCCTTAAAGAAAAAACTCTGTAATTTAGTTAAACTCTTAACTGTTAGCTTGAAAACAGAGTGACAGTGATAAGAAAGGTGAGCAAGGTCCTGAGTGATGAGCTGCAATAAAAATAGCACCGTGGTAAATTAAAGACATAGCATCAGCACTAAAGTGTCAGATACTTTGATGTTTGTCTCTGAGGTGAAAAAAAGCAAACAAACAAAAAACAAAAAACAAAAAACAAAAAAAACAAGTAGAGGTAAAAAGAGATGAGCACAGCAGAATTCAGGAGCCACCGTTAGCCTCCAGAGGAAACATGCAGCATTCGTTCATTTTAAAGACAGTCTGGAATCTTTATTGGTCATAACGGACTAAGCGATGATATCTATCTTAAAAAGTGATAACCGTAATTGACCTACAATTTGGAATACAGGGCCCATACCCTAAAACTAGTAGTAAAGTGCGTGACAACAGCCAATCAGAGTCGACTTTTCCCTGCTCCACTTCCGTTACCGGAAGTTGCTGGAGAAGTTGAACAAACAGGATAAGCTAACATGGAGCGGAGGGCTAGCGAAATTTCTGTCACACATTACTTGGAGTTATCCCCCTAAAACGAAGTTATTGTTGAGAAGAAAAGTTACTCAACGTCGTTTGGGTATCTACAAAGTTACGAGGAGCGAATTAAGCCGGTGTGCAAGGTATGTTTGGGGTCGGAGGCCTCAAAAACTAGCAACACAACACATCTGTTTAAACAACTTGAAGAAGTACCAACTAAATAATTTTGCAGAAAACATGAAGATGCGGGCGAGGTCTGTACAGCCTGCTACTTCTGCCAGTTTGGCACAAAGCATTAGCAACTTGCGGACATTGCGATACAAGCAACATTCCAAGAGGAGGAAAACGATTACACACGCGATTGCGTTTTGTCTAGCTATAGACATGGTGCCTTTAAACTAAGAAAGATGGAGTTAAACATTTATTCAAAGTGCAGGACCCAAGGTACAAAGTTCTCTGCCATTAGTATTTGTATTAGTATTGTCTATTAGGAGATTAGATTATTGTTTGCAAAAGGCATTTGATCAGAGTATTCAGTGCTGATAACTTTTATAACAATATATTGTATTGTCATATTTTAACCTGAGGCTAGCTAATCTGTATTGTTATTGAAGATAATACACATTTGCAAGTAGCATCGATGTTAACTGCATATTAACATTGCCTTTACATAAAAATGAAAACGTTTACGTTTTAAGGTGTCTTCATTATTCCATAGGGTTACATACCTGCATAAACACTTAGTTTGCTGTGTTATTTAATATTTTTTATATTTCTATATCTTTTCTTCTACTGTTAAGTTTTTATTATTCAATGTTTCAATGCAATCTTATTTAATTTGCTTGGTTATTTACTTCACATGGTAAAACAAAGTTGAACAAATCTTTAGTTTCTTTAGTTTTTAAAGTGCATATCCTTGCCTGCCTGGCAGTTTAAAAACAATATTACAAAAATGGTATTATAATCAAGATCCAACGATATAATTAAAATATCCTGTTAAAAAAAAAATTACCAAAATGCCTAGCCCTTCTATATTCCTTTAGACATTTCTTCCTAATGTTATACTCATGTACTACAGTTACAGAGGAAATGTAATTTCAAGCAACTGTCATGGTCTGAACTATAAGGCTGTAGCATTAGTGATTTGTTGTTTACTTCACTTCATGTTAATTTGAAAATGTAATAAAACAAGTTGCTTTGGAAATGAAAAACTAATTGGTGTTGATCGTTGTTTTGACGCTGCCCAAATTCACAAATATTAAACCTAAATTCACCTTTAAATCAGTTCTTGTAAGCCGGTTGTTGAAGTTTACAAGATAATTTATTGTCCCTTCATCGGGGGTCGACACAGCAGAATTTTCACATCTTTATGATACAGCCCAACCTTGACTAGGTAGTGCAGAACCCTTAATCCTTCTGCCAAGTGGGTGTTCTACAGCTGGTCTCTTATAAAATCCTTTACCAAAGGAGTAAAAAGCTGTGCATGTCAAATCAGGACCACGGCCAGCTCCACTTGACAGCCATAAACCAGGGCACATTGTTCAAGCAGCATTACTTGCAGTTTACTTTTTTAATTATTTTTATATATATTTAAAAAAAGAATTGTTCAAATGCATATATATATATATATATATATATATATATATATATATATATATATATAAATAAAGAATTTTTCAATAATTTGTTCTTAAAACTCAGCCAAAAGACAGTGGTCCAACACTGTTGAACTATGCTATTGGCACTATTACCACTAGTTCATTTAAACAATTGCCTGATGCACTACGTCTGTTATGTTAGATTGCCTGAAGCTGCATAGTGTGAAACTGCTGTACCAGTGCCTAAAGCTACGATTGTGAAACACCTGCGTCTTCCACCTGACTTCACTGCTCCTTTTAAAGTAAATTGTCCATAATCTACCTGAGTTGCAGCGGTCCCTCAGGATTACACAGGTAGCGTTTGCAGTGGCGGAGTGGCCTAATTCAGGCAGCACATGTAGATGCTGTAAATCCCACAGTAACACAAGATGTTCCCAATTTAAAGTCAACACCACCCCAATTCCCCACACAAATTTTCACCTTATGGCTCACCGATAAGTGTTTATTGTAAATCACCCTAAAATATATGCTGCAGTAATTCTTTCCTTTGAGTTTTTGTATTTTTGGTTCACAAAGGGATGC